TAATGACAATTGAGTCTGTCTAAACTCTTCCTGTATGTTCTTCTCAAATACCTGGACTGGCATACTTAATTTCCTAGTTTAGACTTTGAAGGAAAAGAGATATGAGCATTCATACAAACTTCTTCACCAGCTGTAAAACAGGTATTTCCTTCTCCTTAAGATCTGTATTATATCTATCCATTATATATTATCTATATTCCTAAATATTCCTATTCTGCCTACATAGAATATATCTGCAAGCCATCAGTTCAAGAAGTATACTACTGTTGCTAATGAAAGCCTCTGTTATCACTGAAGGAATCAACCTAGAAGTCTTTTGGATTATCTCAAGGTCAAGATACTCAACTCACTGCTTTTGTCCCTTCCAACACTAATCTGAGTGAAAATATGCAACATAGCCCTTAAAAGGAAGAAATGACACAACACACTATAAAAAACTTAACAGAATCCAGTAAATCAACAAAACACTCTAGTATCAGGATGTTGGTGGGGTAGTATTCTCCACTACACACTGATTAGTATCTGTCTTTGTAATTAGCAGCCATACTAAACAACACAAACTCTGTATGGGTGGCAGGTCCAAACCCAGTAGCAGCAATGTAGTACTGTGACACCTCTGCCCCCATCAGGAAAGCAATACCAGCTGTGCTGTGCTGAAAAAATTTACAACTGCATTAGGACAAGAACTTCAATTCCACTGAGTAACTAAACTTATCCCTGAGTAGACTGAGCAAAAATTACCTTGAAACATTCAGCAGAGAAGAAATTTTTTAAGCATATTGCTGATTGCTTTATCAATCAACTGGGTAAAACACTTGGCCCTGAATAACAACAGAAAATCATCTGACAGAAAATCTCATCACTGAAGTGCCACTGTGCAACATGGATGTTTAGAACTACACTCAGCAAGAACAAACACCATAAAATCAACTAAAAGAAGAGCTACATTAAACTGAGAAGACTTGTTAACAAGATGATAAAGCAGACCTCCACATAGAAAGCAGAGCACTACTAGGCTATTAATTCCAATTACAGAAGGCTAGAGAATGGGGGAAGAGGCCTGATTGCTCAAACAGCAACAGAGGTTAAAAGAAACAGAAAAGCATTCTCCAATCACATTTTAAGAAAGATTGTAAGAATGCTACAACAAGCTGGGGGTACTGATCTTGCTTCCACAATGAGCTCCTGTGGATGTGGATTATCTCACTCAAAATCCCAATTGGCTTGTCCCTGTACAGTCAACAAAGCATTACAGGAAAAAAAAATAAAATATTTAGGGCCAAAAAAGTTGCTGAGAATTCCTCGTTTTACAAGGCATTCTATTAAAAGTACTGAGCTAACTCATACTGTGAATCCAGAAGAACTCAGAAGTCACATGGAACTCAAGAGAATTACCCAGAGAATTAACTTCTGAGGCAATTCACATTTAAACTTGTGCTAGAACACAGCTACCATCATTTTAGAAGTAACTTAACGGGGTTTCTTAATACACCTTTTCCAACCATGAAGGACGGTGTGGTTTTGTTTTTGTTTTTTCCATATTGTCAGGTTACTTTGAAGTGCAAATTTATACGAAAACTATGCTAGAATACACCCATTCAAGCTGGAATTACCACATAAACCCTCATATTCACTGTAGGGTTGTTTTTAAAAAAAAAAAAAACAAAACCCTACACCCACCAGCTAAAGGGACGCCTGGTGACCTCTCATTTCTGTATCACTGCAGAGCCGAAGCAGCCTCAGGCCTCAGGCCCCCGCTGCTTTGCGGCCCCCAGCAGAAGCGAAGAGAGGGGGTCTCAGCTTTACAAACCGGCCCGCACTACGGGCAGGAACAGCCTGAGGCAGCACGGGGGTAGCTCTCTGCTTCATCCAGC